ATCCCCGGTGGAAGCAAACTATTCTCTTTCCTGTTACATTTATATACGTCTCTGCTGATATAGACATAACACAATTAATCCTACGTGTATTCTGCAGGTAAAACATGTCTATATTAGTCAATATATCTTAATATTACACACAAGTGGTACATGTTACAAATTACTAAAGTACAAAAGTTTTTAATACATTTATCTTTAAATATTTTAATGATAACTCATGTTATTTATAGTTTTAGAACGCTATAAATAGACTACATACATTGGATTCCCCTTTGTAAACCATTCTTCGCCGACTTATTTATCTCACTCCATCGTTCACGGACTACAACGTTGGTATACAGTACATGTGCATTGTACCAGGCTTCAAGACATTATATAGACAATATGGACAGTTAAGCTTCCACAGCTGTCGTTAAAAAATACGCCAACAATTGAAGCACGTCGCACTCTGATATTCATATAATGATCACGTATGATTTTTACCTCGTGATTTTATAATACATTTAGACTATTTCTGGATGATAAGAGTTTTGCAGTTTTATATCAACTTTATTTATTTTACAATTATTATGAAACAACTTAATTAAGCTTATATTTATCACTCGTGTTGGCCTAGATGTTGGCGCTCGAAGGGTCTTAGTGTGGGAAGAAACCGGAGTACCTGGAGAAAGCCCACTTGGTCGGATAGGATACCCTAACCTAGTAACGTCCGTTTGGGGAATTGAACCAAGGCCGCCTTTGTAAAAGGTAAGTGCGCTTTACACTGCATCAACCAACCACTCATTTTTACCTCCCAGGAATATTTGGTGAAATTTCGCCTTGTGGACACGATTCGAGTTTTTCCATAGTGGATTGGAACATTTTAGTAATACCAGATTGTTGATATTGTATCAGACACGGCACACTTCGTTTTTCGGGAAATAAATTGAATCAATAAGTGAGTAATTAGCAAAATTTGATTTAAAATTGACCATGTTTGTACACGCACGCATAGCCACTGGGAGAGAGTGGGTCGCCGAGGTAAAATTCTTCTGATTTTGTAACGTGTGTTGTTCAGCAACCTTTGTACAAAGCACGTGGCAAACGTAAATAAATGCATGTAAACCTTTATTATCATTCTATAGTTGTATCACAGTTTAAGCAATAGCAGGTTTGTTGCAGAAATGAATCGGTTCGTTTTATTTTGGTGCATTCGAATAGGTCTTCTTGATCTGTTTACAATATAAAGTAAATGCAGCAAATGTGTCTAAGTCATAGTTCGGCTGTAATCGAACATTTGTATAAAGGGAGGGCTGCTTTACCGCAGATGACTGTTCGCTGAAATTTGTTCAAAATATAATATAGGTCGTAATCGGAGGTGGACAGGTATTAGTGGCAGAAGTGGGGTATCAAAGGGTTCCGGCCGACGGTGGACGCGTGCAAAAATATTTAAATCATAATATGAAAATAGCCATTAGGATAGGGGATGTTATTAAATTATTTAATAAGTAATTTAATTAGCAATTGAATCATTTTCGGTTTCTTTATATAAACTGACGACCTAGGGGAAATACTAATCAAAACATAAATATCTATTTGCAATTTTTAAACAATCCCTTATAGTACCCTGTACAAATATACATTTGTTGGCGAAAAGTGAGTTCGCAAAATTTAATTCTACTATATAATCTTACAGTATACATTTGTTTTCAATGAATTTTCCTGGGGGGTTTTGTTGATCGGCCGATTTTAACAAAACTTTGCACGCTGAAAGATATTGGTTTAAAGTTCCTTTTCAATTTCATTAATTGCCGTTGCAATTAACTAGAGAAATCAAAAGTTATTTACAACAAAAATTGATTTGCAATGCCATGTTGACGATACTTTGGTAAGACGGTGCCGAGGGAAATTTGGTTTTGTTGTTAATTTTAATTTCTTCCAACATATGCGGTATAATGAACCTGTAAATTACGTGAGGAAACTCTAGATATTTCTTTTTCAACACACAAAATATCATTAAAATCGGTGATAGCCGATCGCGAGGGCCTATAGCCGTACTGTACTGGGCATCCAAACTAGCATTTTGTGGCAACTTTTCCTGCAAAACTACATGTATAACGCGTAGAATTTTGTGCATTTGACAAGTTATAGCAATGCGTGCAACTTTGTGCACATCAACTCTTGGGGAATGCTTTTTGTTTTTCTCCCGTAAGAGCTAACATATCCCGCCAGCCTCTCCCATTACAGCTATTCTATAGTAAGGAGGGGGTAACATGTCCCGTCAGACTCCCCTGTTACAGTTAATCTATAGTAAGGAGGGGTAACATGTTCCGCCAGCCTCTCCCGTTACAGCTAATATATAGAAAGGAGGGGGTAACATGTCCCATCAGCCTCTCCCATTACAGCTAATATATAGTAAGGAGGGGGTACATGTAACATGTCCCGCCAGCCTCTCCAGTTACAGCTAATCTATAAAAAGGAGGGGGTAACATGCTTCGTCAGCTTCTCCGGTTACAGCTAATATATAGTAAGGAGGGGTAATATGTCCCGCCCGCCTCTCCTCGTTACAGCTAACCTATAGTAAGGAAGGAGTAACATGTCCCGCCAGCCTCTCCCGTTACAGCTAATATATAGTCAGGAAGGAGTAACATGTCCCCCCAGCCTCTCCCATTACAGCTAATCTATAGTAAGGAGGGTATCATGTCCCGCCAGCCTCTCCCATTACAGCTAATATATAGTAAGGAGGGGGTACATGTAACATGTCCCGCCAGCCTCTCCAGTTACAGCTAATCTATAAAAAGGAGGGGGTAACATGCTTCGTCAGCTTCTCCGGTTACAGCTAATATGTAGTAAGGAGGGAGTAACATGTCCCGCCAGCCTCTCCCGTTACAGCTAACCTATAGTAAGGAGGGAGTAACATGTCCCGCCAGCCTCTCCCGTTACAGCTAACCTA